TCTACATATATTGCAGTATATGGGTATCCCATAGTTTAACCTTTTTTTATTTATTTACATTATAATGCTTTGGTAATAAAAGAATCACGTTGGACTTTTATATACATAAATATTTATCTTCATCTCTGATTTCCTTCAAATAGATTCTTGGAAATGTAGTTACTGGCTAAAAGAGCGTGAACATTTTTGGAATTCTTCATCCATATTGCCAAGTTGCTTTTCAGAAAGGGTATGCCATTTTACACTATCTATAGCAAAGCCGTAGAGAATCCATTTCATCAGACTTGCCACCAGAGCATAAGAGAAAATGATCCCAGCATATCATATAGTCTAATGACAGCTGTTAGCTTTAGCTCATATCAACAATAATAGGTTATGCAGGTGCTGAGCTTGGAAGGATTGAATGTGAATGATACTGACTTATGGGAGTGGGCACAAAGCCTGTAATCCTCAGGCTTTTGTAATTTGACAACGCTTAGCCTCACAAAACCCCAGATGTGCCTTATTCTTACATGCCTTTTTCTTAAAATGTCTGTTATTTCACCCCATTAAGATAGAGGCGGAAGGTAATGAAAGATGAGTTTCCTGATAAACATTTAAGTGCCACTACATGCAGGAAGGAGTGGCAGTAAAACTTGATTTTAAGACAACTGTCAGGGGCTGGTCCCGTGGTGTAGTGGTTAAGTTCGGCACGCTCTGCTTTGGCAGCCCTGGTTCGCGGGTTCGGATCCCGGGCATGGACCTACACCACTCATCAGCCATGCTGAGGTGGTGACCCACATACAAAATAGAGGAAGACTGGCACAGATGTTAGCTCAGGGTGAATCTTCCTCAGCAAATAAATAGATAGATAAATAGATAAATAAGTAAATACATACATACATACATACAAAAAAACAACTGTCAATTCTCAGAACTGCAGCTAGCTGACCTAGTGGGGACTTGCATACAAAAAGAAAAAATCACATAGCAGAAGAATTTAAACCTCCTCTCTGAACTGAGAGGGCAGTTATCAGCAAGAGCTATGGAGTCAAGTATATCTTTGTGATAGCCATAAAAAACTTACTGCTGTGTAGGAATAAAGTGAGCATCAGATTTACTAGATAGAAGGCTGCCGTGATTAATATACATGACCTAGTGGGAAGCCAGTGAAGGCAGAGGTTACGGTTTTGATAGCAGCATAATGGGGCCACCCAGCAGTTGCCAGGAATAACTTAAAAATGGCCCTGAATTCTGTAGGGCACTCAGGCTGATTCTGAAAGGTCAGAACGATAGGAAAAATCAGGCCAAAGATATAGCCCAGGAGGTTCTGGACGTCTTCATTGGGGGCACTACTGGTACTATTTCTAAACCTTGAGATGACCCCTCATCTAACATTTGGGGAATTGAGGTCTGACAGCATCTATGATTTTAGAATAAATTATACAGGAGGTGTTCATTCATTCAGCAAATTTGAGTGACTGTTATGTGCTGGATACTTGGGGGCATACTATGTCTAGTAAGGCATGGTCTCTCATCTCAAGGAGTTCACCTTCTAGTAAGGTCAAAGACTTAACAAACACAATTATACAAGATAATTCTATATAATTGCAATACCCATGAAGTGCAGATGGTGCATAAACCACCTTAAGTTTTCACAAAGAAAGAAGCATCTGACCCAAGTCTTGGATAAATGGGAATTTTCAAGGTGGAGAAGCAGGAAAAGGTTCTTCTAAACAGTGAAAACAGCATATGTAAATGCATTAGGCATGGGAGAACAAAATATTTTCTGGTAACTACAAGATATGTCAGTATTGTTAGAGCAAAAAATAAGAGCAGTGGCATCTGACATTTTGGACTGGGGTCTCAAAAATGCCTCCTCCTCCATAGCTCAAGTAGCATCCTTTACCTTCAGCTACCTGTTAAGTGGAAAAAACATTTGGACATAAAAAGGATGTTTGATTGATTGAAAAAGGGACCTGAGTGCTGGTATAGTAGCTAGTTTATTAATACTCTTTTTACTTGTCTGCTCCTTGTTCTTATACTGTATATAGATTGTATGACTTATTTAAACCAAACAGCAGTAAAATCACTGGAAGAAGTGAAGTCTCCGTATGAAATGCATACAATTTGCTTTGCAAATTTAAGTTCCTTATCCCTTCTTTTGCCTCTAAAAGGGTGAGGGAGGTGTCTAACTGATCTTGCTCAGCCCAACAATTCATCCTTTGATAGTTTCTGATAGCTTGTGTCTAGGAGCCTTATATAACCGTGTCATTTGCTCAGTAGAGAGGAAGGAATGTTAGATAGAAATAAAATATTCTGGCCTTTTTAACTTTTGTTATTTCATTCTCTCTATTCTAAAATTAACTAAACTCTCCACCCATTTCTGGACTTTTCTATTCATGAAGCTGCATCTTTTATACAACCCCATTTAAAACAACCATTAATAAATTTATTTCTCTTTCACAGTCTGAGATGGAATTCATATTGCTTTTTACACTAAACTCAAACAACATATTTGAAACTACAAAGACCTACATCAGAATGTAAAATATGACTTTTAACATTTAGCCTTTGGAAAAGAAGCTTGAACAGAAGGAAAATTCATGAATGTGTTTATTCTTTTTGGCCCCATTTTAGCCTCTTATTTTTTTTTTTAAATATTACTTATGTTGTTCTGTTTATTTATTTATTTATGTATTTATTTTTGAGGAAGATTAGCCCTGAACTAACATCTGTTGCCAATTCTCCTCTTTTTTGATGAGGAAGATTGGCTCTGGGCTAACATCCGTGCCCATCTTCCTCTACTTTATATGGGACGCCGCCACAGCATGACTTGATAAGCGGTGCATCGGTTTGTGCCCAGGATCCAAACCTGTGAACCCCGGGCCGCCGAAGCAGAGCGCACGAACTTAACTGCTACGCCACTGGGCTGGCCCTTAGCCTCTTATTTATTTATTATTATCCATATATCTGCTGTTTTTCTTTTGCATTCTCCATTTAGTCTATATTCAGAGATAAATAATTCTCTGGCAAGCTTTCATGGGGCCACAGAATTGAATTTTTATAGGCAAATAAACATTTTAAGAATGGGAATGATGTCGTAGGAAGGAAACTAAACAGAAAGTTGAGAAACGCAGGTTCAAGTCCTGGGTTTACATGTAACCAGCTATTTGTCTTGGAAATGTTGGTTAACCAAGGGCTCTCGTGTTTAGTGTTTATTTCTTCAACAAGAGATTTGAACTAGAAGACCTCTAAGCTCAACAAATACATGGCCTGACTTTTTTGGAACAATATTGATTTCAAATCTCTTATGACTTTAGTGTCTATAAATAAAAAATATCTCAAATTCCAATATTTGAGGCTCTTTTCACACCTGGAAATATTGTAGAAATCCTTTACTAAATTATGTGATTTGGAAAATATAGTTGTACCATGTCTTTATTTTTTTTCCCTATACTAAAATTATGTGATTCTAGGGTAGATCCAGAGCAACATCCCATTTCATATCCACTATGCCACCTCCTTCTCAAGCCATTCCTCTCCCAGATTTTCACCTACTTTAACATTAAACTTTTCTACCTAAACTATAATTACCCTAAGAATTATGTAATTTATCTGTTTATAAAGTTAATATAAATTTTTAACTCATGATGATATTTATTCAGAACAGCTGGATTGAATGCTTACTGTGTGTAATATACATAATAGAACCGTAAGTATAATACTGAGAGAGGGAAGGGTATAGAATTGAAATAGTGATTTTTGTCAGAGAAAATTTGGGAAATTGTGGGGTTTAGTTACAATTTTCCAGGGGATTTGCCTTTATTTTCTCTGTGTTCCAGGTCTTGCCTGAAATTTAGAAGCCCCTTTCTTCCCCTTCCTTTCTGGTGCTGTCTATCAGTGGTGGTGATCACCTCTGAGGAAGAAAAGCCCACTTCCACTGACCATGGAGAACACTCAGCATCTCTGCTTGATTGTGACAAGGGCAGTTTTTGGATGGATCATGAAATGCTTCTAAAGTAGCCAAGAGTTAACCCTCCTAACCTTTTTATATAATAAGCATGTTACCACCAAGGTAACTTCCCAGTGGAATCAACTGCATAGTGGAATCACATTATTTACACATTTAACTTATGTAAATTTAGCTCTACTAAAACACAGAAAGAAAGTGCACGAATGAGGGAGAAAAATAGATATTTTAAATAGCGCATGTTCAACCTTGCTTTTCAGTAAGTCCCAGGCAGTGGATGAAATCAAATCTGAAACAGTCGATTCATAGTGGTAGAAGCTATAAAAAGAATGTGAGGATGGTTTTCAAGTTTTCCTATGAATTGATAAAGCATATTCAGGTGACCAGGCAAGTGGGTGGGAGAGCTTTTTTGACTTTTACAAGGGTTATTGCAGGTTGTTGAAAAGCTACATTTAAGAATTAGAGGAACTGGCAAATCCTCTATGAAGAATGACATGATGAGAACAAGTTAAAATTTTTATAAATTTACTAAGTGTTCAAAGGAGTGCAACACCTGATTGATTAAATTTCTGAGTGTTCTTTATGGATTTCCAGTGGTTATTTTTACCATACACTATTACCTACTTACAACCTGTCCCCTAAATAAGATGCTAACCCACCAAATGGTATCTGTACTGATTTAGTTTGATAGTATAAATTGAGTAAGACAGTGGGTAATTTCATTAAGAAGCCAATTCTTGGCTAGTAATTCCATTTTTTTCCTAACTGTGGGCATGAACTTCTTTCTCATAGTAGAAGTCTTTGAATTTAAAATCTAGATTCTATAATAAAATGACTATTTCTTGACCATCCTAGTAATTTGTGCCATCTATATCATTTTACTTTGTTGCTAGAGTCTTTTTCCACCCGTATCCACTGCTTAGATGATTACTACCTTGGGATTGCATAACTACCAAGTAAAACAACATAATTGGTTAAATTGTTTTTTAAATAGATAGTGCTTTTAGTTGTACCAAATATGTGAAGTTTTTCTTCCGTGATCATACAGGTGAACATGATTAAAGATGATGGGACAGTTATTCATTTCAACAATCCCAAAGTCCAAGCTTCCCTTTCTGCTAACACCTTTGCAATTACTGGTCATGCAGAAGCCAAACCAATCACAGAGATGCTACCTGGAATATTAAGTCAGCTTGGTGCTGACAGCTTAACAAGTCTTAGGAAATTAGCTGAACAGTTCCCTCGGCAAGGTAGGTATTTCAATTTAGTACCTCCTTCCCTCCCCACCTTAATTAAAGAACCTAATGATTTAAAACGTGTCCCATTTTACACTGGAAAGATGTGCCTGTATGTAAATTTTACTTTTTATAACGTTACTTGTATGCTTTATAAATTTTTTTTTTATTTATTTATTTATTTTTTTTTATTTTTTTTCCCCCAAAGCCCCAGTAGATAGTTGTATGTCATAGCGGCACATCCTTCTAGTTGCTGTATGTGGGACGCGGTCTCAGCGTGGCCGGAGAAGCGGTGCGTTGGTGCGTGCCCGGGATCCGAACCCGGGCCGCCAACAGCGGAGCACGGGCACTTAACCGCTAAGCCATGGGGCCGGCCCATTCATAAATTTTTGAGTTTGTTTATCTAATAATTATGCAGTGTGGCATATAGAATATTCGGATACATTTTGGTAGTAATATAGAGTTGAGAGGTAATTATGTAAAGGGAAAGTGTCAGGATCTGCAGGCCACATTTTATAAACAGTTAATTTGACATTCACTTCTGACTAATGACAACAAGAAGATAGTGTTATCACAGAACTATATTTTTGTTTAATATTGTTGATTGTACAATACTGTTGTATGCAGCAACCATAAGTTCTGAATTTCCAAAATAGTGCTGGTTTCAGATGTGTCTTGTCACCCCTAAAAATCAAAGAGCCTATTATTTCACTGCTCATACTGCCATAGCTAGATACCTTCTTATACCAAAAGAGATGGAAAAAATCTTGAATATTGATTTTTGATTTAGAGACTAAATTAACCATAATGTCTTTTTATTCAAACTCATCTGAATTATTCCATTTTGCATGTAAATTTTACTGCCCATTGAAATTGCCAGCTGTATTTAGTGTATATCTAATAAAGTTAAAGTTTTATTGATTGTAGTATTAAGTAAAAAATATGGCATTATAAGTGTTCTGTAAAGGTCTTTGTTCTCAATGACTAATTTTAAAATAAACTTTTTGTAGTGTTGGATAGCAAAGCACCAAAACCAGAAGACATTGATGAGGAGGATGATGATGTTCCTGGTAAGTGACATTTCTTTAGTTTTAAGATTTTAGCATCCTGTTTGTCTCATTTAATTCATTACACAATGACTTTCAGTTTTTTATTGATGGTTAGCTCGTGAATTTAAATTGATTCACAGTGATGTGGATACGATCTAATGAAAAAGAATAAAAGCCTTCCTATTTAGAACTTAGAATCAGAAATTGTCACACAAAGCTCTGCTGCCTGCATTTATTGGATTCACTGTGATTATAAATTTGCATAGTTATTGTTATAACATTTCTGTGGGAATTATGATTGACATGAAAATGTCGTTCACTTTAATAGTTTGCACAGAGAAAAAGACTAACGTTTCCTTAGGATTACTGTTTTAAGCAAATAAATGAAACATATTAGTGAAATGCCACCAGTTCATTTCTGCCTCTTGTCCCGTATGTTTTCAGGCTAACTCTAGTAGCAACAATTTTGTTTTTATTGTTTTTATTTTAGAAGTTAGGAATTTCATTTACCTCTTTTTCTTTTTTTTGTATCTTTAACTCATTTACTTTTTTTTTCAGATCTCGTAGAAAATTTTGATGAGGCATCAAAGAATGAAGCTAACTAAAATCTTTTCTGGTTTTTGGAAGCTGGCATGGACTAGATTTAACAAATCAGCTATGTGGTTCCAAAGTTTTACAGACACGGAGAACATCAACTGTTACTAGTTCAGTAATATGAATATTTTGTATATTAATAATGCTGTTTGTTCAGCATTTTTTGGTCATTTGATTTTGCATTTTGCACTTCCTCCCAGGATCTGTTCTTTTGGTCAAAATACGAAGTATTGGTGCAGTTTGAGGGTGTTTTGGTTTTTGATTCTTGTTTTTTTGTTTTTTTTTTTTTTTGTTGGGGTATTTTTGGTGTGTGTATGTGTATGTTTGTGTGTGGGTATGTGTGTATACAGTGGAGAGCAAATTGGAAAACATTCTATTTATCCTCCTCCTTCCCCCGGTAGAAATAAAACAAATCTTTACGTTTGTTACTTTTTATTTTTTTCTAATAATGCACAGAATTAATGAAAAGTGAGTATCTTGGATTTCAACTCTAAAGAGACTTTACCGTTGGAGGTTTGGTTTTAATTTGCTTGGCTAACATTTTTCATACATTTCTCTGAGTTTGAAATGTCTTGAGATATTTTGCTACGAGCTTCATGCTGGTGTAATGGTTAGCATATCTTGGGTGTAGTTGCCTTAGATTCGCTTAGCTAGTCAGACCCAGAAGAATTTCTTCTACTAGCTTTCTTCCTAAATGCCTTTTTCTTCTCCTCTCCTTTTGGTCTCCAAATGGCCTGGTCAGCCTCTGGTAATGCTCTTTCTCATCTTGCACCTAGCCTGAGAAGGATTTCTCCGTAAAGAGTTAAGTGAGTGCCTAATCCCTCTTTTTGTGAGACTTTGTTCCCTCATCTTGAGGAACAGCAGCTCCATCTCCAAATTTTTATTTCCCCCTTGATTTTACAGTAGATTTCAAACTGGAATAGCTAGCATGTGCTTGCTAAATAATTTTATGCCAGCCTTATCTTGTATCCTAGCTGTTCTTAAAAGCAGGTGCAAAAATGCCTCTTTCTCAGCAAGGTTGAAATTGGGAATGTCCTTTTGAATGAGAAAAAAATAGGCCATAGACTCATCCCCTAGCACAAATGGGGATTCTGTGAAATGGTAGTGGCCCCAGGAGGATTTCTTCAACTACTCTCCTACTCTTTGGCCTTGAACCTACCTCTGGATTGGATCTTACTATTGTAGCTGCTCACAGTATCTTCCTGCATGCTTAGAGTAATGCTTTGGGGGAACCACTGATAAAATACAGTATTTATTTTTTCACCTCCTTTCAGAGGACTTGGAGGTAAATTGCATTCATTCATTCAAGTTTCCCTCTTGCTGTCTGAGGATAAAAGCTGGCGTTTTGCTATATCAACATTTGTTATAGCCAATATTTAAGGATAAGATTTAGAAAATTTATCATTTCCTGGCCCATCATCAAACTATGGCTTAACCTTGCAGCATATCAACTTTTGTTTCAAGCTAGATATCTTTATGTGATATCTAAAGTACAAGACCAACAACATATCAAGAGATCTATAGACACAAAGGCAAAGGTCTTGTGTTTTTTTCATCCAGAAACCTCATTTTATAAATTTGTTCATTTTTCCTGTTTTATATAATATATGGACCTAACTATAAAATAAAGTAACAAAATAACAAAAGAGGATTATTTCCTCTTATGCTTCTCTTATTGTTGTCTACAGAATTTCCTTTTGTATTTCCCCTCTACTCCCCACCCCCAAGTGAATTTCAGCCCAGTCATTATTTGAAATAATGTTTCATCCACTGTTAGATCAGTAGCTCTACAGTCTACATAGTCTAGAATTCTATTCCTCTGACTGTCTCCAAGGGGCATATTGTAGGGCAGAGACAGTTAGGAGGACATGAAGTGGTTAGAGACATATAAGAGATAGTATAATGAATGAAAAAATGAGCACTTATATGGAAGTCAGGAGACTTGGGTCCTAGTCCAGACTCTGGCATTAACTATGTGACTTTGGGCAGGTCACCTAACCACTCTGAAATTCATCATCAGTCAAATGAAATGTTTTAAAATCTTAATGTTTCTTCTACTCCCACAGTTCTGTGAATCTCATTTCTGAAAATTCTCAAAGAGGTGATTTTATCATCTTTTCAGAGATGTCTGTTTTTATCAATACCAAAAAACGTGTGTGTGTATATATTTCTTCCACTTTTTCCTTTTTTTGTGTGTGTGTGTGTGTGTGTGTGTGAGGAAGATTAGTCCGGAGCTAACATCCGTTCCCAATCCTCCTCTTTATGCTGAGGAAGCCTGGCCCTGGGCTAACATCCATGTCCATCTTCCTCTACTTTATATGGGATGCCGCCACAGCATGGCTTGATAAGTGGTACATAGGTCCGCACCCAGGATCCGAACCTGCGAACCCTGGACCACCGAAGCAGAGCTTGCAAACTTCACTACGCCACTGGGCTGGCCCGTCTTTTTTCTTTTTGATCACATTTTAACCACTCACCCAGAGGAGCTCTGGTTAATATCTCCTTTTATCCTGGTGACAACAACTCTTAATGACTAGCCTCTCGTGTGTGCAATGAGCCAATATTCTTTTTTGTTTTGTATTTTCATACCTTTCCCTTTCCTCGACAAAGCATATTAAGATCCTGACTCAACCCAAAGAAATGTTCCTGCTTTCAGAGTGAGTAGGTATAGGTAAGAGTATGGGTGAAACTTTTGTAAATTGTAGTGTTCTTGGTATAAATATGAATTATGTGGTTTTTTTAATGGATGAAGTAGTTACTAAATATGTACTTCTTACTAAGGTTATGTATTGCCAAGATAACTGTAGAAACATTTTCTGGGGAAATTCATCTTAAAATTTTGGGATAATTCAAGAAATGTCTGCAGAAAATTGATTTGTGGTCTTAATTTTTGTGGTTAGTCCCTCAAGTTTTTGGTTTTTTTGTCAGTCCTTTCAGTTTCTGTAAAGCTCCTCATTTATCTGTTTTGGGGAAGCCCATAGTAAATAGTTGGGACCTTATATTTGTTTTATCCTTTTTTTTACTATTAAGTAATGGTTTAAGAATACATGAAGCACCTTGATTTGTTGTTAAGTAATGTTTACGGGATTCCATTAAATTAATTTTAATAAGCCTATCAGGTTCTTGTGGAAACCCATATTGGGATGTATTTGATTTATTTGTTTGTTTTAATTTGGTGTTTAACTCTTAAGTATGCTATATATCCTTAAATAAAATATCATGATGAGACATAGTATGGTATAGTAGGAAATACACAGGTTTTTAGATTGATCAGTTCCATTACTTACCAAGCTATAACCTTCCCAACAGGGCTGCTGCAGTGCACAACTCCAGGGGTCACCATTCATATTTGTTGTATTCTAGGGGTGCCATTTTCATAGAATACAATGTGAATAATGCCTCTGTAAGAGTGCAATGATGGCCTTGCTCTCTGAGCCTGTTTCCTCCTCTGTGAAATGGTGCCTGAGTCAAACAGGGTTTCTTAGAACCCCCTAAATGATTAAAGTGAAGATGAAAAATGATTAAAATGTCTTATCTCCCAAGCCGTGGCAGAAAGGAGCTCATGGTTCTAGGCATAGCAAGGCTCCATTCTACACTGCCACCCTCCTGTTCAACCTGTATTGCTCTGCCACAGAGTTTGCCTGGATTATCATAGCCTCCTTATTGATCTTGCTTATGATTCACTCCCTCTAATCCATCCTCTACACAGGAGCCAAAACTATCTAAATTTCATATCTGAGCATGCCATAGCCTTTCACTTATGCCCAACATACCATTCTGTTTCAAGCTTCCATTCCTTTGCACATATTTTTAGTATAGTACAATATTAAGATTTTTTAATTTTCTTTATACTTTTCCCATCTAGATCATGAGTACCTTGATGGCAGATGGTGTGTCATACATCTTTTATCCCCAACATCGAGCATAGTGCCCAACATGTAGTCTACTCATGATCATAATAAATAACACTAAGTTGAATACAGAGTTATTTCATTTAGGGGCCGGCCCCATGGCGTTGCAGTTAAGTGCGCGCACTCCACTGCTGGCGGCCTGGGTTCGGATCCCGGGCATGCACTGAGGCACCATTTGTCAGGCCACGCTGTGGCGTCGTCCCGTATAAAGTGGAAGAAGATAGGCACAGATGTTAGCCCAGGGCCAGTCTTCCTCAGCAAAAAGAGGAGGATTGGCATGGATGTTAGCTCAGGGCTGATCTTCCTCACAAAAAAAAAAGTTATTTCATTTAACTTGCAAACAGTCCAGTGGGGCAGATATTATAATCCTACTTTTAAAGAGGAACAAAAAATGGTTTAGGGAAGTTGCCAAAGGTCACACAACTGATTGGTGGGAGAACCAGGATTCTAATCTAGGTCTATCAAATTCCAGAGTCTAAACTCTAAACATCACCCCACACCACTCAACAAATGTGTATTGAAATGAAAATTATGTGTATGTGGCCTCTAGACAGATAGTCTCATCAAATATCACTCAATATTAGCCTGAAAGTCAAACCTATCTTAAGAATTATTCAGCTTTGAGGGTTTTTTGAAGTAGGATTTGTAATTTTTGTATATATTCAGGAGTTAACTTTTATAAACTTAATAATTGGATATTTTGCATACCTCGGACAGGATCTTTGATGGCAGTATTTGGACAAAATTTTAGGTTACACATGTTGATCTCCTCGACAGTGGTGGTTCTTTTCAAAATTTTGCTACCTTTTAGGCATAGCTTGTCAAAGAAAATTATTCTATAAACTTGAATTTATCCTGCAGCCACACTTTTTCTGTGTTTAAAAATCAAACTAGTCCACAAAGTTAGAACTAGTAAACGAATTCAGCAGTGTTGCAGGATACAAAACCAACATGCAAAAATCAGCAGCGTTTCTATACATCAACAAAAAAGAAATTGAGAACAATTCCATTTATAATACAATAGCATAAAAAAGAACAAAATACTTAGAAATAAACTCAACCAAGGAAGCAAAAGACTTGTACACTGAAAACTACAAAACATTGCTGAAAGAAATTAAGACATAAATAAATGGAATGGAATCCCATGTTCATGGATTGGAAGACAATATTGTTTGTTTGTTTTTAACAGTTTGATTTATTTATTTATTTTTTTGTGAGGAAGATCAGCCCTGAGCTAACATCCATGCTAATCCTCCTCTTTTTTTGCTGAGGAAGACCGGCTCTGAGCTAACATCTATTGCCAATCTTCCTCCTTTATTTTGTTTCCCCAAAGCCCCAGTAGATAGTTGTATGTCGTAGTTGCACATCCTTCTAATTGCTGTATGTGGGACGCCGCCTCAGCATGGCCGGAGAAGCGGTGCGTCGGTGTGCGCCCGGGATCCGAACCCGGGCCACCAGTAGCGGAGCGCACACACTTAACCACTAACCCACGGGGCCGGCCGCAAGACTTAATATTGTTAAGATGTAAATACTACCCAAAGTGATCTACAGATTCAATGCAATTCTTATCAAACCTCAACAAAGTTTTTTGCAGAAATAGAAAAACCCATCCTAAAATTCATATGGAATCTTAAGGGGCCCTGAATACTTGAAACAGTTAAGAAAGTTGGAGGACTCGCTTCCTGATTTCAAAACTTATTAAAGCTACAGCAAGCAAAACAATGTACTGGCATAAAGACAGACATGTAGACCAATGGAATAGAATAGAAAGCCCAAAAATAAACCCTTACATGTATGGTCAAATGATTTTTGACAAGGGTGCCAAGACCATTCAGTGGGGAAAGGATGATCTTTTTAACAAATGGTACTGGGAAAATGATATCCATATTGCAAAAGAATGAAGTTAGACTCTTACCTTACACCATAGACAAAAAATTAACTCAATGGATCAAAGACCTAAACGTAAGACTAAAACTATAAAATTCTTAGAAGAAAACATAGGAGGAAGCTTCACGACATTGAATTTGGCAATGATTGCTTGGATATAACACCAAAAGCACAGGCAACAAACGAAAAAATAAATGGGACTACATCAAAATTAAAAACTTTCATGCATCAAAGTACACTAGTAAGAGCGTGAAAAAGTAACCTACAGAATGGGAGAAAATGTTTGCGAATCACATATCGCATAAGGAATTAATAT